TTCCTGGGTTCCTGGGTTCCTGGGTTCCTGGGTTCCTGGGTTCCTGGGTTCCTGGGTTCATGGTTTGGGGTTTGGGGTTTGTTTGTTTTTGTGTCGGAGGTTTTGGGTTTGGGTGTTGGAGGTTGAGGCTTCTGAAGGGAAGTGTTTGCAAAGTTTTATTGCTCTTAATATTTTTTTACGACGGGCCAACCTTGGTCCTACAGATTTTTCTCATGACGCAATTTTACAACTTTTAGTGTGCTGACTGAGTTTTCGCAAAGATGTCGTCAGGTTTGATTGCTGTGCAGCAGGCTTTGGCTCGCCGAGAGGAGAAGAGGCTGAGGCAACTGAAGAAAAGTCTGCAACAAAAAACGCTCTTGCACAAAGCAAGGAGGGATGTCTGCACCCGCTTCACTCGATTGAACGGAGGCATGGTGCGCACTTATGCGGATAAATTTGCAGACGTGGTGATGGATGCGGAGCAGCAGGTTGCTGATGTTGTTGCCCGTTCCGAGCAAGTAGCACGCGAACTTGAGTCACTACGGCGGCTCAAATCGTTGGATGCCGATGACGCACGGGTGGAAGAGGAGGCAATGGCGACAAAACCGGCGGAGGAAAATAAGGACCACGCGATTGGAACGGGAAGCGGAAGCATACCAACAACCGACGAAGGTCGTGGTCCCTCTAAATCCAAGCTGTCGTCCGCCATAGCCACAGCAGCTTCGGCAACATCCTCTACGCGATGGCGCAGCAAGGGGGCTTTGTCGCGGCAAGATAGCCCTTTAAAAGCAATAGGAGGCGCTAAAACGGAGACCCGGCAACCTTCAGCTTCTACTGCTTCTCTGAGTAAAAAGTCAACGAGCGCGTTTCGTTCGACCTCGCCAGCGGCGTTTCTGCAAACGCGGCTACCCTTCCGCGAGTCATTGCCAAATCGCCGATCATCGTTTTTCAGCCGGTACCGAGACGCGCAACAAAAAGTCAATGAGTATTACGTAAGCGGAGAGCAGCCTCTCGACGCTGAAATGTTGATGCCCTCGGACCCACCGCCTGCTCCAAACACGCGACGGAAGTTTATTTTCCATTCCATGGAGTGTAATCCCGTATGGGACGCCTCTAGCAAGAGGTTATGCAAGCAACGCGACGCGGAAGTTGGCACCTTGAGAGCACTGGCGGAGGCTCTAGTAGCTTCGGGAAACTGGGAAGGAGAGATCGTACATGGCGCAGGACGACAGCGAAAGGTCGCTGAAAGGTTCTCGTGTGCAAAAAGTGGTAGTCACAAAGGTCATTGGCAGCAGAATAACCAAGTCCAAAGTGAAGTAACTAGTTCTTCTAGCGATATGGTGCACTTCCGTTGTGGGTTGCGACGCACGGATATCGACGCTCTGCCGGCAGATCTGCCTTTCTTCGTGGAAGCCGATGGCCTGCCACACTTTCAAGTCTTCAACTACATGCCTTTTGCATGCGCACAGCTGACAACAAAATCTGGGCTTACGCGAAATTTGATGCATTTTGTGGACCTCCATAGACTTCGCTTAGGCCACGAACTTGGGATCTTTGCTCGTCGGGGTCCGCCACTGCTTCCGAAACCGGAAGAGGAACTGAATTTTCTTGACGAAGAAGGGCAAAATGATGGATTGAAAGCGAATAAAGAAAAAGAAGTTGGGTCGATAGTCGTTGCGAAACCAGAAGACATGCAGTCGCAAAATTCGGATTTTCAGAAGACAAATGCGTCCTTCACTGCCGCTCGGCCTGAAGCGCGTGCGGACTTCCTAGCGAGGATCTGCGGAGATCCTGACTTTCGGGTAGGTTTTCCGGTTTCTTTTGATCTTTCTCATACCGATGCGCGGGACAGGTTTCGTCGTTCCTTCCAAAAGCAACAGGTTCGCGCTCTTGTCTTCTCGGCCCTCCATTGCTATAAGGCGACATCGAATGAGGCAGAAGCTAATACTCTGGAAGAAAAGTTTGGGACCCCTGATTATAGCCCTCCGAGACCGAAAGTTTCATATCCTCGCTTGCGCTTGGCTTTGAAGCTTTTTTTGAAACCAAAACTGGATATCAGCGCTAAGGAATGGAAAATACTGTCAACGGAAGCCTTGAAGTTGCACAAAGTTGTGCTGAATACAAGAAGCCCGAGTAAAGCATGTGGCGAGTTAACTCAGGATAAGGCTGTTGATGATGAAAAACAGAAAGGTGCTGCGTCCCCCGTGCTCCAACAAGCGGAGTCGAAAAGTTCGCCTCTAACGCCGATAAGCCTGAAACAATTGCGGGAACTTTTGGAAAGCGATGACTTCTCTGATGTACTGAGACTTGACGAGAGTGGGTGTTGGACAGGCCTTGACGGTCCTGAGAATCTGTGGATTGTCAAGCCCGCTAATGCGGGACGCGGGGAAGGCATCCGCGTTGAGAATCGTCTAGAGAATTGTATGAGGATGAGCAGTGGAATCGTGCAGAAATATATCGAGCAACCTCACTTGATTGAAGGCCGGAAATTCGACATGCGGCAGTGGCTCGTGCTGACGAGCTGCGGGAACACGGCAGCTTCGTCCTCGGCAACAAAGCAGATGACATGCCAGAAAGGGGAGGATCGCGTTGACACGACGAAGAGGAATGACTCTGATGATCATGATATGCAAGAGCGGCAAAAAATTGAAGGTCGTCTGGCGAAAATAGACGAGGATGAAGACCAGGACCAAATACGTGCCTGGTTTTATGACGACTGCTATTTGCGTTTGGCGGGTCGCGCGTATTCAACTGATACCGCTGACAAATTTGTCCATCTTACAAATAACTGCATCGTACGGCACACGCCCGATTTGGAAGATTACGAAGCTACTATGTGGCATTCAGATCGGTATGCGAAGTTTTTGGAGGACGAGGTAGCAAACCCAAGGCGGGTCGCTTGGTCATCGTTGCAGGATCAGATGAAAACGATAGCACGGCTGACGTTAGAGTGCACAAAAAGTACGATAGCGGATCGCACACACTCGTATGAACTTTTTGGCTATGATTTCATGGTTGACGCGTTCGGAAAAGTGTGGCTTCTAGAGGTGAACTCGTCGCCCGATCTCTCACACTCGACAAACATCACAGCGGGACTTACTCGCGCAATGGCGCAGGATCTCGGTAAACTCATTTTCGAACACGAAAAATTGGGCTTGATGGACGCTGTGTCTCTTAGACGACAAACGACCAAAGAAAAGTCGGCGGATGACGGAATCTTGGGACGGTTTTCTAGGTTGTAAGTGTTGAAAGAGTTTTTCTTTTTTGATGTACTGAGTTATAACAAGACGACCTTGCGGCCCTCGCTTGTGGCACGAGGCACGAAATTGTTTACTGATGCACGTAAAAACCAGAACTACGTATTTCCTGGATGATCGCAAGTCTGATCTTGAAGGGACCCGCCCAGATCAACATGGGTCGAAAGAACTGTTCTAAGAAGTACTTGATGTTGAAAAAAGACAAAGATATTCGGAGAGAAAGAGCGAGTCCCCCTTAAAGACAGCATCTATCTACTGAAATCTATGTTGATGTGAGAAGCACCTGACTGATGTCTTGGCGATTATATTGCCCAGGACTAGCCATCGAGAGAGTGTGGGTGGATAGAGCAATCACACTAGATCGGGTTGCTTTCAAGCAGAGAGTAGTTTAGTACTGGCGTACCAAAAGAAAGCGAGGAAACCATTGAGGTGCCTAGGCCATGCCGGAATCAACGCGGGTTTCTGCGCTCCCGAGCATCACAGGATCGCGGCGCACGGTGCCGGGTTCTTCACTGCGTGACACCGTGAGACCTCTTGACGATGTGTCTCTCTGTTTCGATGCATTTCTTCGGCGAGTCAACCCAACCTTGCCAGCAGATGAGGTGCGCAGGCGTGCACAACTGGCCTTTACGGACATTTTTCCGGACAGGTTCCTTCCAGTTGCGGATGTCGTAGAGGGAGAGCTGCAGTTCACGGAGTCTGCCCGAGACGGAGAAGCGCCGCGTAGCGGTGTAGTAGATGGCCGCATCAATGCTGCTAGTTTTGCGCAGCGCGAGACGTCAACGCACTTGCGTCGCGAAGTGGTATTGAGCGACAGCTTACTCTACTTGTGCCGTGTCTGCGTGCTGTTAGTTCAAGATCTGGTCGGAGCTAAATAGAAGTACCAATACATAATATAGCCGGGGAAGCGTTAGGACAAGACTGGATAGAATAGAGCGAAAAGTAAGTGTGTTGATCAACATGATGATCCTGTACTCAATAATGATATATTACAGGAACTGCTTCGTTCTCGCCTCCTCGAGATTGCAGATCCAGAGTTGTCAAGCAGTAAAGCACAAGCTATGAGGACACCACAGGTTCTCGGAGGAGACTGCGATGCATCGAATAGCCACGTTGAGCCGATGTCTCTATGCTCAGGTTATGAGGAGACGAGCAAAGTGCCGGATGATGAAGTCGAGCGCCGGACGAACTACGATGCCCTTTCTGGATATCCTCCTTCAGCAGAGATGCGATCGAATATCTCGAAAAGATTTGCCGCGATTGCCGGTGAAAGCACCACTAGAACCAAGTTGTGCCAAGATGAAAATAGCGTTAGCGAAGAAAAAGAAGCGACAGAGCGGCAGAGAGGCAGAACTTCTGGAGGAGGTGGGATAGCTTCTCCGGTCCCAAGTGTGAACAGTGCAAAAGCAGGCAACTACGCCGAATGCCCGGCAGATAAGGTGCCATCAACACCAGCAAAAGCAATACAGAAAGAACGTCCAGAACCAAAAAATGCAACAAAACATCAACCACCTAAGCTTAACCCATCAGAGCTTGATACGGAACCCTTGCCACAAGTGAAGTCTGCCGATTTTACGCAAGAGCGGCCCTCGACCACAACCCAGGATGCATCGGCAACAAGGACTCAGCCGGCCTTCGGTAGCGACAAAGCGTCAGCGATGGGGCACATCGTTGTTCACCTGAGAGAAAAGGCCCGCGAATTGCGGACGCGTCTGGGACGCAAGAAAGCCGAACAAGAAGAGCAGCAGAGACTCCGAGCGCAGGAGCAAAAAGAAACTACAACGTCAAGCACGAGCAAGAACAAGGAAATAAGCGAGGGCACTAATCACAAGGAAAGAGATTCTACCGAGAACCCACTAGAATCTGCGAACAGCGAAGCGGCTTCGGACGCAAACAGTCGGGTTGATCTTAATATCTTGGTTTCAAACGAAAACCATCAAGCTTCAACAGCACGCGATGGCACTACCGCGCAAACCGACAAGAGGGTGGAACATCAGAGGCGCGTGTCGGCATCAGTGGATTATGCAGAAGCGCTGCTGTCTGAAGTCTATCGCGATGCCGTCTCGTGCGCACACCGAGCAGTCGATGAGCCAGAAGTGCAGACTAGTAACGAGAACGCGAAAAACGAGGTGGTCGCAAGTGCAGTCCGCGACATCGTCAGCAAAGCCCAGATTGCCTCGGCTTCGCAAGAGAAGCAGAATCTATATCTAACTACATCAGCTCCACTTACAGTTACACCCCTCAATGCTACTGGTGTTCGTCTTGCTTCATCTAAAGTTGAGTCGACCGATCCTGTTGTATCACCTTCGAGGAGTCCATCGATATCTTCAAAGGTCCACCTCGAAGCAGACAAGAAATGCCAATCAGCAGAGAAGACTTCGAATGGGAAACCGGAATCCGCGGTTGGCAACAGGGGAAGTAATGAAGCAGAACAAGAACTGGACGAAGTGTTATTTCCCATTTCTAAGAGGGAACAACAACTTGTTCGAGCGAGCAGGAGAACCGCTCGCTTCATCGGAAATTTGATTGCGGCAACAGCAAAGGAATCCACTGCGCCTCTTGCCGGCTCGAAAAGTTTTTCCCGCAAGCACGCGAATGCAGTACCTGAAGATGGAAGTGAAACGAAGGTCATGGGTGTTGCTATCTTGGAGGAAAATGCAGACAAGAAGATTAGCGGGAAACCGTTGCCGACCTTAGGCTCAAGCCATGCGCAACAAGAAGATGGAACTCTTTCCACTATTACAGATAAAAATGGGAGTTCTTCATCGCCGAGTGGAAAAATTGCACTTCCGATTTCAAGCAATGAACATACAATGCTCTTCGAAGAGACCGTAGAACTTGACCCGCACTTGTTGCAAGATGTCGAAGTAGAAACGAACACTTCTGCGGGAGTCAACATCATCAAAGAAGACAAAAGAATTGAAACGAATAAAGACGGAGCAACAGGATTAGATCCACCAGCCGAAATTTCGCTGGGTTTTTTAGATGCGCTTTTATTCCCGAACAGCAGAAGGTACAAAGGGAACGCAGCAGGGAAAAGAATGCTACGAGGAGCAGCAAAGCACGGAGATGCTTTGTCTTTGGTAGCCGCTGACCAATCGCAATCTGCAGCAGAGACTGAAGCTATTGCCAGTTATGATGAAAAACAAGTAAGCACGGGCCGAGCATGCGTCGGCAAGAAGCAAGCAGAAATTGTTTTACCCAGAGAGTGCATCATTCGTGTGCTGATATGCCGTTCCTGCAACCCTGGCGGGCACACACGCGGCGGAACAGAGTGGCGATTGCGTGTCGAAGCGTGGGTTCTCAACGACACAAAAGTACATACGGATTCGCAGACGAGCGAGACGCATCGGCAAGCTTCTCAACTCTTTCCCGCGGTTGAGATGTTGGCTCGTAACCTATGCAGCGATGTGAATTCAGTTTCAGAAGACGAATCGCGTTTCGTGCCATTGGTGACCAGCACACCGTCGAGTGCGGCTGCAGCACAACTTTGTTCGCAAAGGCGAACTGTCTACAACTACACCGGGTTGGGGCCATGGAAGATTCCGACTGATTCCGTTGAGTTAGCCGTAGCGTGTGAACATAGGCGGAACCGGGTCCTGGAACTGCAACTGCTCTGTTCTTTGTTTGCGACTCGTGAGCTATGCCTGCGAATACAGGTGCAGCACGATCGGCAACTGGGTCAGATAGAGCCTAACAATTCTACCAGTTACCACGACGAGCTTTTTGCGAGAGTAAAGCGTGTCCACCGTCAGCAAAAGGACAACATAGAAGAAGCTCTTACTTTCCGCACACTGGGACGATCGCTCGCAACGACACGAAGCATGCTCCAGCATCGCTGCGTCCAGCGCATATCTGTTCCGCTCTACCGTCGTGGTATGCGGATTGCTGTCATTAACTTGGCACCAGGCGCACGGCTCGCACATGAACATGAAGCACCCGACATAACAGCCGCGGGAGCGTCTTGCTCGTCTAGCTCTAGTGTGCAGGGTGGAGGAGGTAGCCGTGTTCAATATTCTCAGACGTTCCATCATCTAAACTTCTTCGTGGAAATCTCACGGGTAGAGAGCATCATCGATGCAACTAAACTTCATGCCGAAATTTCGTTGCGCGGTTGGTGCTCCTTTCTAAATTACCACGAGTACGAACTGCTTCTACCTTCACGCGTGGTAAAGCATCTAGCGATCGAAGAGGTCGAAACGCGCCTTTTTTACGACATTTTCGCGGATCGACTAGCATTTCGCTTGTCGCAATCTGATCAGCAAGTGCAAAAGAAAAAGGTCAAAAACCATCATGGTGATGAGGCACCACTGTGGCAATTGTATGGCAAGGACGAAGAGTCTACTATTGTTACAGGGGCAATCCTTGACAAATCGCCGTCTGCTGTTGACAAGAAAGCATTGCGGACGCAACCAAAGGATGGACGACAGGAGTGGTTGGAAAGAGTTGATAGTATCGCAGCAGCTGTGGAAAAAGACGCTGCTCCGTATCTTTCTTCCGAAGAGAAACATGAGTCTCGCACCATTGCTCTGTTGGATACAATCAATAAGCGATACGATGGATGCCGCACAAAAACAAGTCACGTTCAACATGGTAGCATCGAGAACACGTCGAGGACTTCATCTTCAAGAGACGTCGCAAGTCCAAGCGCAAACAAGTATACATCACTATCGCTCTTGGCTCCAAGAAGAAGTTGTGAAGAGCGGTTTTTTCCGATATTGTTGAGCTTGCAAGACGCGGAGCGTATAATATCCGACAAGGCTGAGAGCCTGGAAGTTCTGTGGAGCGACGTGGAAAGGCAAGTGGCTGATTTGCAGGGTGGGTTGCGCGAATGCCTTCTCAAGCGGAACGACGATCTTGAGCGTGATGGAGCAGTCCCAATTTCCCCTCATGAAATAGAGCCGAGTCAAGGACGAAACATGTTGCTTACCTCCTGTCTCAACGATATCAGCGCCGTGTTCGAAACTTTTTGGCAAAGTCTCCTAAAGAAAGAGGGAGATGAGCACAGAACTATCTTCACTTCAATGCCAGATTACTTTGAAGCATGCACAGCTTTCTCGCAAATAACACTAGGGATCAGGCCCGGTGTGGGGTTGCCTATCGCGAACACCAAGACGGACGAAGACCCAGAAAATCAACGGAATCGTAATCCAAAAAATGAAAGTAGCAAAAGTAAGGCAAATGCCATTCCTGGTTTTCCTGGTCCTGTACAATTCTCGTTGCCAACAGAACGACAGCGACGTCGTAGTGATGACTTGTGCGGTGACCAGTTCTTACTCCTTTTGGTTCGCTTGGTTGTTACAAGCGATTCCTCACTGGTCGCGCTTCTGTGGGAACCGGCCCCAAGCCGTCCGCAAAAGCCTGCCGCGGTGGTGGCGCCTGTGGGTGTCTCGTGGGGCGAGGAAGACGAGGACGACTCTCAATCGTCCGAAATGCTTCAGGACGGTTCGCCATCCGTTTCATTAACGGCGACGCCACAACAGGATGTGGCACTACCGGGATCAGTGGACGGTTCTGGAGGCATGTACGCGAATCTTCTGAACGCGACGGCTCTGGGCACGCCAGGCATCGCTGGTGGAGCTGGAGGTGGACATTCGTCGGCTGGAAACAGAGGCGATGGGGGATTGCCGCGGTTCTCCGTTTCCGGGAAGCACGCTGCCTTCAGAAACGGAGGTGCTGGGGGAAATTCACTGCAGACCGGAGGGTCTGGCAAAGTAGGAAACTCTGGTGCTGGAGGCGATTTGGTGCGTGCTGACGGACAGGAGACTCATGAGTTGCTGAGCGTTGCGCGGCTCCTCACTGCCGTAACACCGGATACCGCGACAGCTCTTGCAGCGGAATTCTTTCGCACAACCGCGTTCGTAGCTTTGGCTCGCAGAGCGCAGAAACTCACCTCGGAAAACCTCGCAGCAGTGTTGCTTCCGAGTGCAGCAACTTCTCCCGGAAAACAGGCTGGGAACTTACTTTCCCGAGACGGACAAAGCAAGACCGATGCGCCCTCCAGTAGCCTTATTGCGACAGGAGTCGGTGCGGGCCTAGACGAGAAACTAAATTTGTTGCGCCAATTTGGCGGAGATATTCCTTCAAAGGTTTCTTCGGCGCCGAGCCAATTGAAGTCAGTGGCCAGTCCTGGCGATGGAAGCAAGAGCAAACTTGGCAAGGCACATCATTCAAGTGAAGCCTCGCCCATCGCTGCGTCGTTCGTCGATGATGGCAAGTGGCAGCTGACTTTCCCCAACAGTGAAGGAGAGACAGACGTCTCTTCATCATACTTTGTGAATGTAGGAAGTTTCCTCATCGTCAAAAAAAAACAAATGAAGGATGAGAGTGTTGCGGATGTAGCTGGTAGTCGGGAGTATCTTCGTCAGCGGGACGAGAACGAGACGACTGAACAGCAAGAATCTGAATGCGGTAAGCGCCGCGAATCACATTCCGCAGCCGCATTGCACAAACTGGATACATGTAAGGCTGGAATTTTGTTCCGCTCACAGATCTTGATGCGGACGAGTATTAGGCTGCTTATTCAAGAGCGGCTTCCGGAACTGAATGTTAATCCAGTGCTACAATTCGTAGCAGCACAAGCTATACGGGGAACTTCCAGTCAACAAGAAACTGAAGCTAGAGTTTCATCATCATCACTAACTCCAAATCTTACCGTCAACGACTTCCATGTCGCGGGGTTTCGTCTCCTGAAGTCTTTCGTTCACAGATTTTTAGCTCGTCCACGAGGAAAGCAGTCGCGCCTAGCGGTGCCCATACCTGCCAAAATTGGCTTTTTGCAGAGCGAAGATGGACGCGGCACGCGATGCGTCGAGATCTCAGTTCGAAGTTGCCGCAAACACACATCTTGTTCCCTTGACGAGCATAAGCCCGCCTGGCTAAAGCACGATAAATCGGTCAATGCGAGGATTTACTTTCCTGGAGGACGTCGTGGGGAGCGCGTTCTAGTGGAATGCATGAAACTCGGCGAACATTCTTTTGTGGTGCAAATGTGCGACTACGAGTTTCCTGCTATTACTCGAGTTCGCGTCGCGCTTTCTCCATACTATTCGACGAACGGCATCGACCGAAGCGATGCTATTTCTAGCCATGAAACTAAATCAAGCAAAGATTTTTTCCACTCGCCTGACGATGTCACAACTGGAGAAAACATAAATTGTGCTTCCGGTGATTCCCCTTCGCGGACGGCGACGGATCCCAGTGCTGAGTTGCGTTTCGCAGTGTCTCGTAGTGAAGAAGACCATGCCTGGTTTAGTGCTAAAGCTGAGCTAGCTCTTAGTGCGCGCAAAAAGCGCAGCGTCAGCATCGGTAATGTTCTTGTTGAGGATGCATCTGCTCTCGAGCAAACTTGCAAAGGAGCAGAAGCGCAATTCGGTTTTTGCAGTGACGCGCTTTTATTAGGTGGGACGGAAAATGGTTATTCGCAGCGAGCGTTTCTTGAACGGATTCGGTTAGAAGCAGGTCCGAATACACAGCTGTCTTTACGAAGGCGCGGCCTTAGATCTACATGTATTGACAAGCTTCATCGTGAGACAATTGAAAATGTCGGCACTGCTGATACAGGAGTGCTTTTTTCACCTCTGCTAAACAGCGACCTCAAAACAGGTGGTGAAACAGCGACGAGCACCGGATGTGCACCCCCAGATGCAGCTGTTGATTTGGAAAACCTTGACCTTCCTGATTCGCAACTTTTTGCTTTACCAGAAGCAAAAGCTACAATTGCTGATATGCGATCTTTTCAAGCGAATTCAATTTTACGATCCAGTGTAGACAACGAGGACCTCCTGGCCCTTCTGGGAGTCTCTCCAGCGACACTTCCAAGTGCTGGTAGCACTGAGGGTCGCTTTGAGCCACTCCCACTTTCTTCAGCTGAAGGCAACGCAGGATTTCCATCGAGTGTCAATGATTTTCTTCAGCCGCGTGGTGCAGCAGGCGCCGCAGCGGGCAACTCACCCACGAAGCCAGTGAATTTGTCGGGGGGCGTGCTCGCTGGGGAAAGCAAGGCTGGACTTGCGAATCCGTCACCTCTGAGTACGATAGCTGGTGTAAAAGTAAACCTGCTGCAGAAAACGCTTGGGGGCGTGGCGGGAGGTGCCCCGACGCTTCCCGGTGTCGGAGTCGGGCACCAGCTCCAAGATGGTGGGATGGGGTCCGCTGGTGCTTCTGCAACGCCTGGCGGTATAGGCCCGGCAGGTGGCCTCAGTACTGGAGGAAGTCAGCCGGCTCCGAAAGCTTCAGGTCTTGGCTTGGCAGGGGGGACTGGAGTTTCTGGAGCTCACCAGACACAGAGCATCGTTTGTACATCGAGCAGTAAGCGCGCACGCGCTGGAGCAGCGATTAGTGCGGCATTTCGGGCACTGTTTGATGGAAGTGCGGTCCTCCATCCCTCGAATATTTTAAATTCTGCCATGGTTCCAGAGATACTGTTGTTGAGTCATCCACACGTGCGTTTGCGGTACTGGATTTCTGATAAAATGATATCGCTAGCTCTTGTCCTTATTGTTGATGAAGAAAATCAGAATCATGACAATAAGGAAACTCTCCGAAGTAATCAGCATGAGACCTCCAACGCTCCTGGTGTGAAAAACAAGAGTAACGCAACGACATCGCCACACAACAACAAGCATCGGCAACCACATGGTAGAGGCAAAACGGTTCGTATCTTGCGTGCCCTTTCTCTCCCGCTGGGCAATCAGATCACGGAGGAGTCTACTTTTGCGGAGCGCATCCCGCTGTACACCAGTGTCGACCTTGATGATAAATCAACCATAACAAGAATCGATGAACAACAACAAGCGCTCAGTACTCAAATTCATCCTGGTTGTAGTCTTCATTTGGAGTTACTTTTCGCAAGCAACGCCAATGGTTCCTTTTCCTTGGCTGTCACAGCTGTGGACGACGGTGGGATTGGTAACGCTAGGGCTGAACGACGAGGCTCGCGCCTGGCAACTACCTACCTCTTTCGCGGTTTCGGTACCCGTTTCGGCGGTCCAGTGTCTCTCCTGTCACCACCAACTTGTAGTGCTGATGAAGGAGTGTCCTCAACGAGAAGTACAGCAAAAGATACACGGCTTGCATGTTTGCTTGATGCTGCTGCTCCCATCAAGTTTCCGAACAAGCACCGCGCGGCATGGGAATCAGGGAGAGGCCAAGAACATGATGCTCTGAAAACCTTTGTCGACGTTGATAAAGCTGACCCTTCTATCAACTTATATCAAGGCCAGCAAGGCGGGCCGGGAGGTCGTGGAAACTCGGATCACGAGCAACGAGAGACTTGTACTGTTGGGCATGAACTCCAAGAAGAAAGGAAGATGTTAATGCAACCTCCCCAAATTATAACTGTGGATGAAAAAGAAGTTCTACTTGGTCGCGGAGGTCACACAACAAGGTGTCCCTCTCGGACGGTAGTTATAGAGACGATGAATATGACCTCTGCCAAACCATCTTCGCGGTCTCAACACACGCAAGGAGACTGTCCGAAGCAGCAATTTGATTGCACCTTCACGGTAGTCCCGCACCACCTTGGAACTGAAGCTTTGGACGCGATCCGTCACGGCTGTGCTATCGCACTCGTGTTCAGAGTGTCCTCTTCAAGTTCGACTTCAAATAATACGTCAGCAACAGCTAGAAGTGAAGGAGCCGGTACCGCCCGCGTCTTGACAGTGTGGCATGACGATGCTCTCCTGCAGTGGCTCGGCGAGGCCGGAGCACGGCTTTCCTGGGGCTTCCTGGTTGAACAAGCAAGCGCGATGGATTTGTTGAGTCAGACTCTAGTGGCGCATCTTAAACTTCCACATCTAGAAGTAGTTCAGACGGCTGATGCAGCCAATTCCAAGGCCTCTAAAAACTCGTCTAGTGGTGCTACGACGAATTACGGAATACAAGCTGTAGAGGAAGACGTCACCAAGAAGCTTTTGGATGTGTTGACAGCGAAAGATATAGGTTGTAATGCGCCGAAACCGAATGGAGAACATTCTAGTTTAGGCTTTTTGGAGAAATTCGATGCTTCAGTCGTTACTGACCTTTTACTGGACGACCCGGAGCTTCGCCGTAGCGCGGTCATCCAAGAAAGATGCGCCGCTTTGATCGAATAAAGAATCTTTGGCCGAAATACGAATCGTCACACGAGAACAGCACAGAGAAAAAGTCTATGTGGTAGTTCAAAGAGGGTGGATATCAAATCTCAAACTTTTTTGCACTGAAGCTTTGCTCTAGGATGCGTCGAAATAGTTTGCTTACATGGTCTTTATGTTTTCGTCGGACGTAGAAAGAGTTTGAATTCTTCAAGAATTGCACGTCATGCATTTGCATTTCTAGTGGTCTAAATCCAGTGGAAAACTAATGATTACATAGTATGAGTGTTGCTGCAGGAGCAGAAGATGAACAATCTAGTTGTAGTACAACTACGAACACGGACTCTTGCTCTGCATGATACCCGGTCAACAGAAACTGAATTCAAGTTGCTGTAATAAATTGAAAATCATATTGTACCTGGGTGCTGATAGAACTCGACAGAAAATATAATCTGAAGCGAACAGTGTGGAGATATGCGAGCGCTGTTGTTGTGAATTAATAAACTACAGTGCTGTTCTACCTCATTCTACGACTTCTATGTGACTGTTTGACTTCTCTTATTTGCGTTCCAACCTCTGATGTACAAGAATCTTCACTATTGCGTCCGCGATAATGGGGACAATGATCATGATATTTATGTTTTACATGCCCTTCAGAAGATGGGACGATGACTTCTGATTCGTTTTGTGCATTCGATCCAACGAGAAGCTGGTGAGCCGATCCTTGTCTGCTGATTTGACGAAAAAAGAGAATGATGAGAATCAGAATCTCATAATCCTTCACTGATGGAAATGTTGTTGTCATGGACATCTTTCCGTTTCGCGATTGCGCATAGCCTGATACAACGATGAAGTACATACAACAAAAACAAGATCAATGAAGTGATGAAAACACGCTCGAACACAACTATAAATATATGCAGGTACAACGACGACGAGCTGACTATTTAGTAGTCATTCTAAGTCTATTTTTTCTTTGATTTTTTGGCTGCCTACCCTCGTGGTCACGCATGCGATCGTGAAAGGCACTCCTTGGCTCAACCCAATTCGGCTTTCCTGTAAAACTTATCGGCTCCCGTTTCTTTCGTTGTAATATATTCAGTTCTGATTTTCCAATCCCAGTAATAGATTTCCCATCGAATAAATAAAAATTCATTCGTGAATTCCAACACCAACGCCTCCTAGTCGCCCGGTTTCAACCGGTGATTTCTTTATATGCGCATTTCTGTATCAGAGAGGTTAATGAATAGTCTCTTCACGTCTTTTGTCTCCGTTTCAGCGGTTGTGTATTTCTGCCTAAGCCACTAGCATTGATTGTTGTGGACTTCTTTTGGGCTTGAAGGCCTTCATGCATCAATAAGAAGAGCAAAAGCACGATGGCGGGAAAGAAGAGTGGCGCGCGGAAGAACGTGGCGGCGCCAGGCGCAGGAGATGACGTGCGCGACGACGTACCAGCACCACCGCTAGAATCAACAGGTGGGGATAAGTCGCCACGAAATAACAAACCAGAGAAGAAGAAGGAGAAAAAGAAGAACAACAAGGATGACTTCGGCTTCGAGTACTTCATTCTCAAATTTTTTCAAAGACACGAATCGAAACAAGATTTTCTTGAGAATGAAATTTTCTACCACGAGTTTTGCCTTTATTTTTCTACCAAGATGCATGATCGATACTTCTTTATAGTATAATTGTGTTTCAACTGTTGAACATTACAATTATGATCGTTTTGCAATGTACCTAACCTACATCAGCTCACAACTGGGACTGGCACCGCCGCTTGGGCGTCGTGGTGCTGCTGCGCGTATTAAGCGGAGAATCATGGATGGGCTGCTTGTTGGCGTAATACGGCAGCTTGGCGTGGCAGTGCGCAACGTTGACCGAGCAGCGCTTATGAAACAGGCAAAGGCGCAGAAGAGCCCAAAGGAGCGCATCATGGAATCGTGGAGGTTCGTGCAGGCGAACATGAGTGCACTGATGGCATGCTTCGCCATTTTCATGCTGTTCTACATGAAGGCGAGCCAAGAAGGCTACTATGTGGCTGCCAACGAAGACGGGGGCGAGAGCATAAACCCGTACCAGGCATTGGGGCTTAGCAGCTCCGCGTCACAGTCGGAAATCAAGCGCGCCTACAAAAAGTTGGCGCTACAGTGGCACCCGGATAAGCACGACAAGGACTGTGAGAGCTGCAAGAAGCGCTTCCACGAAATCACAGTGGCGTTCGGAAAAATCGGGGAGGAGGAGAAGAGAAGAGCCTTCGACGCGAACAGAAAAACGCAGAAGGAAGTGCTCACTGACAGTGCCAGTGAAAAACTCACCTACGACATGTGGCGAAACATAGTCTCCAAGACCAACGACGTCTGGATAATTCTGGTACTGCTTCTGCAGCTTGCTGTGTCTATAACACTAGATTTTCGATACTACTTAACTTTTGCTTGTTTAGCTCGAAGTTTCTTTGTCGTTGTTCTGCTGGTTATATTGATGTTTTCCGGTAAAGGAAATGTCAATCATTTTCTTCTCAGTTCTACGACGGCACTGACGCGACTGAAAATATTTTTCCGATCTTCGAAGAGCTTTCGTTGAAGCATGGAAACTACGTGAGATATGCGCACTGCGATGTGAGCACAGCAGATGGCCTGCGAACAGTTGCTGCATTCCCGCAAAAGTTCGTCCTCTATCCCGTCGTCACGCGATACAGCCCAAGCGAATATCCGGAAGTGTGGAGCCCGCAAGTGACCCCGGAGATGCGCGCTCGTGGTGTGGAAGGCAACCGCGTCAAATCCATTAGAAAGTATAATGCGATTACTTTCATTAAACTTTTTGACTTTGACTATGCGTAAGGCTTGGCCTAAACTTCAATACATTTAGTCCTCCAACAAGTCGAAGTTGATCGATCTTGATTTGAAGATCCTCCTTTTCTAATTGACGGTTGCGATTCCAATTCCACTTTCTATACCCCTAAAAAATAGGTTTATCTATGAGACGTATCCGACCTACAACTTGCCGTACCTTGGCAGCCAGAATCTCGGAAGCTGGGTTAAGCAAACAACGGAGAGAAAAGTTCTAATCGTTGCACCAGACGCGAGTATAATCCCCAGCAACACGGGACTGATCCCACTCGAAAAGAGCCAGTGGCGAGGTATTTTTCCTGCGCCACCTTATGTAAGTACAAATAGTAGGTGCCAGAGGATATTATGATGTTCTTAGTTTTTTCATGACAAACACCGACACTTTTTACGGCCAGGGCCGCGGTGCGATGTTTTTAGGGCACAAAAAATGAATCGCATCAGAATTTTCTTATCAAACCACTCCCGCCACAGGTTTCAGCCAGAAACTGCCCGAACCAACGGCTGACGGTGTTCGACTTCATCCAGTGGAGAGCACATTGCTCTTCTATAAGGAGGCATTGCGGTTTCGCGGTCTTCCGATGGGTTTCACAGACAAGCATTCCCTTCTCCAGCATTTGACAACCGTAATCGAAGAGCTCAAGAAGAGCGAGGAGTCAGGGACAGGGGGCGAAGATGGCAGCCCAGATTCGCAAAAGAACACCGCAGAGTCTGTTCAAAAACTTGCCCGCAGCATTTTTCTTTATGAACATGATTAAATGTGGCCTCCAGCTAAAGGCGTGATCATTTACAATCGTCTTTTCGCCTCACGAGCATCAATACGTCCTCAACTTGGCTTTTAATCTTTCGATTTATCCCTTCTATTTCAGGAATTCATAAGATAGAGATCAAGATCATTGTTCTAGGTCTACTTGTTGATGTTGGTACGTCACCAGAGATGATTGCTCTAATTTTTCTTCTTCCATTTGCAGCAGCAGTGGTTCAACAACAAGGTCCAGAGTGCACCTTATCTGTTGCTGTCGGTTGGCCCCGGAGGCGTGTTCCTCAAAACGCAGTTTTTGCCTGGAAAAGAGCTTGCGCACAATGTTGATCTCATCAAGCGCTACACGGGCATAGCGACCGCGCCGCGTGGTCATGGGGCGGCACTGCAAAAGCACATGCTTAAGTTTTCCCGATCGAAGTACTTGCAAACTTTTCAGACTTTCCCGGAAACCAGTAATCCATCTACGATCTCTTCGATCTTACGCGACGCAACGCATACCGCGTATTTGCGCACTTTCTTGCAAACCTATCTGGAGGGACACGAGCTCTGGAAACCGTCCTACGGTACCTGCTTCGACATATACGAGGCAACACCGATCGAAAGGTTCATGCAACTAGAGGAGCGCGGAGGCTCGCTCACGCAAGCATCGACACCGGTACTGGACATTTACAAATACACAATTTACTAGAAGAGCTAAGAGGGACGAAAGGTGATCTATTATGGATATCGTCTGCGTTTCATCTATGTATCATAATCATTCTTGTACTGCGTCTGCGATGAGCATGTTTTTGATTCCTGATACCTCCAGGTAGAGATACAGTTTCTATGTATATTATATAACAACATTCAAGAACAAACTCCTCAATCTTGATAAATTACTCTGCTGCAACGTCAGGACGACGACGATGTGAGAGACGCAGAGCAGATCATAGGCGAACCGGAGATCTGCCGGAAGCAAATTCCAGCAACGCGCGTCCAAGAATTCAGAATGCTTCTTTCGGAAAGTCCTGAAAAAGCCAATACTTTCTTGGTACCTTTCTGAAGCCAATAGGATGATTGCCGAAGATTCTAAGAATGTTGGAACATCATTCTGTAAATATTAGAATGATGGCGTCTAGATACTTATACTTAAGTACTTGTTTTCATCCATCCCAACAACTGCTTGATACTACTTACCACAGCTAACGCAATTTTTGCATGATGTGTCGAATGAAATAGTTGTGGCAGTGGACAGGAGTAATTACTTGGATTTCTGCAAGTTGGATGGTGCTATGTTTTCGCGAACACGCAATTATTGCTTTTTGGCGGCCGCTGACAAAGCAAGTGGCGAGGCCCGAAGCAGGCTCGTCGGAGATTTGTTGCGTGGAAAGGAGGCATACCTGAAAGAAGTTGCGGGTGATGGTGACGACTCGGCCGCCGAAGCGGGCGATCGAGAGGATTTCGAAACCAGAATACAGCCAGTCTCATATCAGCCATACGACATCGTGGGAGCGGTGCGACACTTACCTGTCGCAAAGCGCTTCCATAATGAAGTCGCGTCGAGGCAGGAACTGGACGGGTACTTGTTTCATCTTTTTTTTGGTAGAGAACAGCAAAAAATAAAGTTTTGGGGTCTACTCTAGTACGATCAAGATCCATCACCACTTCTTTATTCTAGTCTTTAGAGTTCGAAGATCATCAAAACATTCGAGGATACATAGATATCGAGATCAACCTTGAAGAATACCAGGTACGATTATCTCATCGTCGAAGCGGATACTAGCGGTGTCGGCGCTATTCGAACGAAGGACGTGAAAGTCGCTGACGTTTATGCTGGTCTTGCCTTCGAAGATATTCGGCTTACGGTTGAGGACTTCCCGAACCTCGCCAACTTACTCGCTGATACGCGTGTCACATTCATCGAAGAAATCATCAATCTGTTGATGGGAAGCTGGTTGCAAATGGCGACCACCTACGTCCTTGCGGTGTTGATCCTCTCGTGTCTTCCTGAAGTTCAGTTTTTCGTGCGCAAGAGCATGCTTCCGCTCATTTTTAGCGGTAGTGCACTCACAGCCTGTTTCTCAATCTCTTATTCTTTGCGGCGCTTCTGCTTCCAACCTCTGGTCTAGACAAGCTACGTGAAGATTGGTTTCGATTCATAAACATACCTGAAGATACGCAGCATACACGGGAGACGCGGCATACGAGTACATCAAGATATTGCATTGAACGAAAAGAAAGCTTTTTAGTTTTTGCTTAGGCATCATGGAACTGAACGCAAACAATTCATTGTCCAAAAAGGAGAAGATCACAAACTACTGTTAGACTGACATGAGATGAAGATGCACGCTTCTACGTTCTCACTACAAAAAATGTAAAGAGCGTTGTATCCAAGAAACTTCGCTTCATTCATGTAGTTTCTGCAGATAAGAGTCCAACATCATACAGCCTGCCCACTAGTTCCCCCGGACATGCTTTTTCGTCACGGACACTAGTATGTGATGGTTACGCATATTTGTAGGAAAGTATTAAGGCAGAGCAACCCCCAAAGATGATAACGAAAAGACGTTATGTACCCCCCCAATTGTAAGTACCAAAGTGAATGAATACCAAGTAACGTGACGCTGGAATCGAAGAGATCATATAAGGCCTCGACGTCCTCAAAAAGCATAAGAACATGCCTGCCAATATTGTGCTACCTCGTGTAGTCGTCGTGTTGCCACGACTGCTCTGTAAATACTGATGTCTGACAGGACAACGCCAACGTGCCTGTAAGTGGTGAGAGGGTAGCAATCGAAATCTTCGGATTACGCTTTATCGCGAGGAACAGCATATTTTGGTCACATCACTGTCAGAGACTCTTATTACCACTGAATTTCTGTGTACAACCGGAGACGGCCATTCAAAATCACAAGTAGGACATTTTGTGGGTCAGATCGGTCATGCATTGGTCTTGTCTGTTGCAGTCTGTTGTTGAATCGTCGAGCTTTTGACTTCCTGGCCAGCCAGGACAACACACATTGAGTGGTGTATATCTCAGCCCAAGCCTTCTACTACAAAGCAGCATATGATTACCATCCTAACCCCGCCGTTATTCCAGCATAATGCTGAAGAGAAAGTAGATTTATTTGGAATCATGCTTTTGCTTAAGATAGTTATTTCACAATATAGACACAAAGCAGATAAAGCTATACAATAAAGGTAATCCACGCGCCTCGTCACAAGGCTGTGGTCAAATCACAGGCAATCAGCTGCTGCGAAAATTCTAAACCATGTTTAGGCACAACTAGAGAATACATAGGCTTAACACGTCGTGGAAAGAAAGTGATTTCGAAGAAAAAGGATGACGATGAGTCATGATCTCTCATCTGCTAAGAAAGCACAGGAGCAGGGTGCGTATCGTTCAGGTGATGACGTCGTGATCAAAGGTGCTCTGCGAAGTAGCGGCGGCGAAGAGGGCATCAGGCGGAAGAGCATACCAGGATCGTCCACGGCTCAGGATGAAGCTGCGGTTATCGCTCGTAGTGGAAGTCAGGTATCGCTGAACGATACGGCGGCCCCTCCTGTAGGTAGCGACGGCCGACGACGCTTATCTCAAGGGGAGACGCAGCAACCGGATCGACACAATCGGTCAAGTCGACCTCCACAGGGCGCGCCCGAGCGGAATGGAATGTGGGTCGTTGAAGATGTCGTTGAATTCAGAGGCGATCACGTCCTACGAGAGGACACGACCATTATGGGTCAACTTGAATATGATGCCGGCAATTTTCAGCTCATTTTGTCAACAGCCTCCTTGTTCTCCCTCGAAGAAAAATTTCCAATAGGACGATGTGAATATTCTGACGTTGGTTAGTGTTTTGTGTGAAAATGATACATGCACTACGGTGTGTCGTGTGTATCATCTTCATATACTTCTAGCTCTAATGTCGCACGTTATTTTGCGGACACCAACCAGGGAGCGCTGTCACTGACGTGCTTCCTGCAGACATGTCTTGCCGGAGGGGGAAATCGTGGCCCCAGGCCTTAGTGGAGTCGTATTGCTGAACTTATAGCATGTACATCTCATAATATCATGTACAATTTTTTGCTGCAGACGCATCTTATGAAATAGAAGAGTCGAGTTGTATTCACACATTCATATTAAAACCGACGTGCTGTTGATGTTGTGCCTTGTGCAAAAACATGAACTTTCGAAACAAAAGACCACCTATGATCATTGAGTGTTGTATTTTCGTATATTGGGGAACATCAAGAAACATAAATAGAAGGAGGCGCTGCGATAGGCGTCGATTATAGCTCATTTTTCTTTTGCCGCCCTGCGAAAGAAGTGCGATATTCGTGTACGAGAGTGTCGGTGATTTCAAGACGAGGTCCTCTAATATTTTGTAAATCAGATCAGGAAGTTGATTTTGATCGTGAACCATCAGTCCATTGTCTCGGCTTCTTCTATATACTTGACTCGCACGAGGTGCAACGATGTTAAAAACTTCCGTGGTTTTGACGCGGCTTCGGTATTCTTGACCACGACCGCATTTGTAAATCGGTAGGATGGAAAGCCGCGTGTAGCTGCTGCACCTATCTCACGTTCGGTGCGCCTTAGAACTCTGCTTTTTGCCTATTACTAGGTGACGATCGCCGATACGATGAAGGAAACATGAACCTCTTTATCTGGCGCTGTTGAAAATCGGTAGTCAGTCCCAGTACAACTACCGGTAGAGGAATTTCTGTTGACGAGATCGATTTTGAAGTGAATGTCGGTAGTACTACTGAGGCAATATTAGTAGTCCCATATTTTTAGTAAATTTTATTTCAATGTAGTACTAGCTTGGAGCGTCCGATAACATCCCTCCCACTAGGATCCCCCTCCTCCCAAAATAAGAAACTAAGCATGGCAAAGATGTAAGCGGTACACGTTTTCAAATTTCGAAAATTTTCCACGTTTTGCCATCGTTTGGGAGTTGGGTCCCGTGCGTTTGGAGTCAAGTGCCAAGATCCCAAAACTTTTTGACTTTCAGCCCTTTCCCTGCGATTCAGTTTCTTGGCTTTGCATTTTTCAAATTTCGAAAATTTTCCCCATTTTGTCGTCGTTTTGGGATTGAATTTTGTGCGTTTGAAGCGCTAAAGTCCCTAAATTTTTGACTTTAAGTCCTTCCCCTGAGATTCAACCTCTTGGGTTCGCGTTTTTCTAATTTCGATAATTTTCCACGTTTTTCGTCGTTTTGGGAGTGAATCCCGTGAGTTTGAAGTGCTAAGATCCCAAAAGTTTTGACTTTATGCCCTTTCTCTGAAATTTAGTGCCAGCCTTGGCTTCGCGTTTTTCAAATTTCGAAAATTTTCCACGTTTTTTCGTCGTTCGTTTTGAGGTTGAGTCCCGTGAGTTAAGTCAGCCCTTTCCCTGAGGTTCAGTCTCTTGGATTCGCGTTTTTCAAATTTCGAAAATTTTCCACGTTTTGTCGTCGTTTTGGGATTGAATTC